ATTGAAATAACCTCATTTTTTGAGGAATACAGGATCTGTCGAAAAAGGCTTTATTGTCGACAGATCCGTGTCTAGACTGCCGTTTATTTCGAAAAAGCTCCGTTTCGGAAAACAAGCAGCGGTCATGTTTATGCTAATGAAGCGTGGGATATTTAAATCCCGACTTCATTAGCAATTTCAACGTGCTTGATTTGCATCCCTCTGTCGACAGAGGGATGCAGTCTAGACACGCCTTGTGTGTGTTGTTTGTGCAGCACTTTCAGGAGGAGAAGTGCCTCTGAGTGTGAACATCATCCGTGCAATGCCACGGAGCCCATCTTATCACTAGTGAGCTGCATCCGGGGGATTTGGGCGGGCCAACAGATAGACATGCCGCAATGCCTCAGTGATTCAGCTCTGTCTTCGGGTGGGATTGTCCTGTGCCTATTCCAACGGGCCTGCAGGCCAGGGCCTGCTGCTATTGCAATGCACGTGTTTAATCGTGCCTAAGGAAAGTGGCGGAGGTGCTACGTCATGGGAATGTGAAAACGCCGAGGCAGGGCAAAGCGTTGGGAAATGTACTCCAGGGAGCAGTTGTGAAATGCCCAGGGAGTGTGTGTGTGGCGGCAGAGAGATATTTTGGTCTGCGATGAGTCCGGAAAAGTTGAGAGCGCTGAAGGGTGTTTGTGACAGAAAAGGGCAACAAAAATGACGAGGGGTTTGGAACGGCTGTCATCTGAAGAGAGATTAAAGAACTGGGACTTTTCAGCTTAGAAAAGAGGAGATTCGGGGCGCTGTGAGAGAGGTCTCTAAAATCCTGGCTGATGTGGAGAAAGTGAATAAGGAAAGGTCATTTACTCCTTCCCGTAACACAGGAACTAGGGGGTCACCAAATGAAATGGATAGGCAGCAGGTTTAAAACAAATAAAAGGCAGCATTTCTTCACGCAGTGCACAGTCAACCTGTGGAACTCCTTGCCAGAGGATGTTGTGAAGTCCAAGGTTCTAACAGGGCTCAAAAAAGAACTAGATAATTTCACAGAGGATAGGTCCCCCAGGGGCTATAAGCCAGGATGGTGCTTCACAGAGGATAGGTCCCCCAGGGGCTGTAAGCCAGGATGGTGCCCCTAGCTTCCATTTGCCAGAAGCTGGGAATGGAAGACAGGGGATAGATCACCTGTTCTTTTCACTCCGTCTGGGGCACCAGGCATTGGCCACTGACAGGATCCTGGGCTAGATGGACCTTTGGTCTGACCCAGTCTGGCCATTCATATGTTCTTTGGACATTGGGCAATAGACTCGCAGACACCAGGGTGAGAAGCCAGGAGAAGGGGGCTGGCAATCAATCAATACCTGTCCCATAGAAAGGCAGGAGTCGCTGCACATGCAAAGCTTGCACCAAGAGGGAGCTGGTGCTGAGAACGGAGACGCAGGCAGAGGTGAGGAGTGCGGAAGGCTGTGGAAGCCAGGGGGAGGGATCGGGTAGGGAAGAGACCGGGGCCATAGGAGAGAGCCACCCTTGATTAGGCTTAAATCTGATTGCCAGAAGCATTATAAACCTTATCAGTAGATAAGATTCAACCACCCAGGAAACTAATTGGCTGCCAGAGGTTTCCTCAGTACAATGAAAAATGTAGGAGAGGCAGTGTGGCCTAGTGGAGGGAGACGCGAAAGCCCTTCAGGCTGTTCTTGGCTCTGCCACTGGTGAGTTGGGTGACCATGGGCATGTCACTCCACGTCTCGGTGCCTCAGTTTCCCCATTTGTGAAAAGGGGCTAATACTGCTGACCTTTGTTAAAGCGCCTTGGAGTGGACTAAGGACACACGCTCCGTATCATTACGGCTGCTTGCTCATGGTGATTCGGTGAAGCAGAGCACAAGGACGCTCGCGCTTAGCGGTGTCTCCGGCTGCGCGGGCTGTGAATTAAGTGTCCTTTAGAAGCGGCATGCTGGTGCGGTCTGGAGGCACGATCTTTCTCTCCGGATTAGGCTGTTAACACCGGACTCTGGCAGAGCTGCTGGCGGGATTATCTCGATCCCTTTCTTCTTTACAGGTGAGGCAAAGCCGGGGGAAGGGCTGTTCCCCCTGGTCTTTGAGGCCCTGCGTCGGCTCTCCAGACTTTCCCAAGTAACATCCGTTGCTTCTCCCCCCCCCCCGACGTCGTGACAGACGCCTCCCGCTGGCCAGGCCTCGCGCTTGTACCCGCACCCCTCTCCGCGGGTTCTCGCCTTTGTGCCGTGCCTCTCGCCACGGAGAACGGGCCGAACAAAACCTGCCAGACGTCTCCCCTCCCCGTGTCCACGGGAAGTTTGATCCAGCCCCGGTTTCCTGGCACCCTCGGGGGAAGGGCATTTCGGATCAGAGAGCTGGCAGAGCCTCAGGCGTCATCGAGTCCAGTTCCTGGCCCAAAGCAGGACCAGCCCCGACTCAACCATCCCAGCCAGGGCTGTGTCAAGCCGGGACTTAAACCTCTAGGGATGGAGATTCCACCACCTCCCTAGGGATCCAGCCCAGGGCTTCTCCACCCTCCTAGAGAAATAGTTTTTCCTGATGTCCAACCTAGACCTCTCCCACTGCAACTTGAGCCCATTGCTCCTCGTTCTGCCATCTGCCCCCACTGAGACCAGCCTCTCGCCAGCCTCTTGGGAACCCCCCTTCAGGTAGCTGCAGGCTGCTCCCAAATCCCCCCTCACTCTTCTCTGCTGCAGACTGAGCCCAAATCCCTCAGCCTCTCCTCGTAGGCCATGTGCTCCAGCCCCCTCATCAATGTGCTGCCCTCCGCTGGACCCTCTCCAATGCGTCCTCATCCTTTCAGTAGTGGGGGGCCCAGAACTGGACACAGTCCTCCAGATGTGGCCTCACCAGAGCCGAATCAAGGGGAATCATCACTTCCCTAGACCTGTCCCCTCCCCGCGGGGCCGGCCGTCCCCTGCCCCCCCCCCCCCTGCCGTTAGCCACCTTGGCTACAAGGGCGCCCCGTTGACTCGTTTGGCTCCCCTGTTGAGCATCTGGGCCACTAAGCCAGTGAGCCCCTCGGGGGTTTCCTTGCAGAAAGTCTCGGATCTCATGGTGCTGGGGCCCTTTGGTGGGAGGGGGCCAGTCCGTGCGACTGACTCCTCGGACGTCCGGCTGCGACGGACTGCCTTGAAAAGGGACCAATGTGTGTGAGCGGCTACCTGCTAGGACGGTAAAGCTCCCGGGGACTCAGCCAGGGTGTGCCCGGCTGAGGTCAGCGACTGGAATAAGCTTTAAATCCCGAAAAGCCAATGAACCAAAAATACCGTGAAAGGCTAAGCTGCTAATTGCATCTGTGGGCCGGCCCGTGCGGCTCCCTAGCGCAGATCCGTGTGTTGGGTGGGTTCGAAAGCCGGAAGGGCCCGCGGGCAGGGGCGGCCCTAGACTAGCTGCCAGCAACTGGCGCCCGAAGCGAACCGTGCAATCGGCACCCGCACCTCCAACCCCGCAATGAGATTGCGCCACCATTTGGTGCCCCATTGAACTTGGCTCCCTTAGCGAGCGCCTACTTCGCCGGTATGGACAGGCGTAACTGGGACCTGATGTCCTGCACCCCACCGGCCCCCGACAACTCTCCCTCCCGGCAGAGCGAGAGAGAGGCAGCTCTCTGCCCCCAAGGGGGCCCCGCGAATCGGGCGTTGGAAGAGCCCTTTCTCCCCTTTCCCCATGAGCCCCAGTACCCCTCTCTAACGGGGAGGCCCACGGCCCGCTGGGTAGCATGGGACATGCAGGACAATGAGATTGTTGGGCTTGGTGGTCTCCCAAAGTCTCCTTGCGGCTTCTCTGTGCGGTGCTGGTGCATCGTTCCACGGGCCTGAGCCCAGGTGGGCTCCTCCGTTCTCCTGGAGCCGCCTTTGCCTGTCTGTTGTCACGCGGCTGTCGCTAGTGAGCTGGCTGCCCTGGGCGCCCGGACCCATGCTGACGCTGCCCAGCTGATCAGCAGAGCCCCCGCTGCCGGCAGCCGGCAGCCTTTTTCTGTTAGGGATGTAAAGGGTTAACCAGCAAGTGTCACCCTTATTGTGTAAGGCTTACTGGTTCTGGTTAACCGGTAGGGGCTGGAGCAGCGCCCACCTACCCCGGGCCTGGTTGCTTTAGACACACAGCGATTAGAGCCTGCTGTGTGTCTAACCATGTAACCACTAGGATTGTTAGCAGTTACCCAGTCACCTTTTAAACCGCATTTTTGCATCCCTAGTTCTCTGGGTGGTGCACATCAGCACATGCCTCGGTGCACAAAACCAAATTTATTTCACACACAAGGGAAGAAAGTAGAGGGAGCATTGCTAATGAGCCTTTTTGTTGGATTAAGGAAGTGTCTTATTCCTGTAGTTTCTCATCGGCTGCTACCGTCATGTTTGCTTAAGAAACCTCAGTGTAGTAGGAGAGCAGGTAGGTGGATTCCTTAAAGCAATTTCCCAGTTACGGGTCAGAAAATCTGTATAGGCCTTCCGGGAGAACCTTGCGCCTGTGCTGTCCTGGTAAGAGGCCCAGCCTTAGGGGCAGGAGTTGTACCTAGTGGCTAATCCCATTGCAGGAGCGTGGGCAATGTTGGTTCAAATCAATCTTGGTTTTTGCCCATCGGAAACTTTTTAAATGACCTGGATGTTGAATTTCACGTGGTGTTTTAGGAACATTTTTCTCTGGGTGGCTGTGCAGTTGTAAGCGAGCCGGGAAGACGAGAGAGCTGCCTTGGCGCGCGGGCCGGGGGAAGGATGTCTTTGTCGATTCATATCTTGTGCCTCTGTCATCCGTGTCCCTGCGGTTCGACCTCGTGCGCCTTCCGTGCTGCCCTGGCCGTGTCTAGCTGGCGAGGAAACGGCCTCTGCTCCGACGTTGGATAGACGTGCTCCAAGGGCCTCGGGTGTCCTGCGGGTTCCCGGAGTTGACCCAGCCGAAGGCGGAAGGCGGCTGCTTGTAGGGTGGGGGGGACCCGACCGG